ACTGGTTGCTCCCGGCTCAGTCTACCTTAGAAAGATTTCTCCAGAGGCTCTCCTTGGATCGATCACGGATTAAGATCAGTGATGAAATGAAGAGGTGAACTGTGGGCGCGTAAGAGAATTACGCGATTTAAGCGTGACTACTGCTACTACAAAAGTGTCAGGAATGCTTGCTACGTGCAAAAACGTGAGAAACGCCAAAAATACTAGCTGTCATTAGCTGCACTTTCTAGTACAGCCTCCAAGGCAAGCTTAACCTACATCGAGAGAAGCAACAAAGCTAACAGTGATGTCCCTGTATTGTCACTGTGAGCATTTGGACCTAGTTGAAGAAGACGTTGAGAAAGCTGAACTTTTGGCTCAGAAATATGCTTCTGTCTACTCGACCGAAACGTTACTCATGGATAGCTTTGTGCCCACTCCTCCTTCCCCGTTTGAGCACGTGAACGTTAACACTGACGCTGTAATGAAACATCTTCTTGACCTTACATTAGTGTACAAACGGATTTCTGACAGTGTTTCAGGACGTGGTGGGTTTTCGCCTGGCAAGCGTTCACCCTATAAAAAGCCACAAATATCCGCTTAACAACACTGCGACGTGGCGGATGTGAATCGCCACTGAAAAAAGTCACTGCCCACAGCTACATACTGGCAAGCCGACCAGAATCCTAATATAATATTTTCCTGAAAAGTTTTCTCTACAAACGGAATGCCCAGCCTCTTTACACTACGCACACTAGAATCCAACTTGTCGTCATGCATTGACGAATTTATACCACAAGATTAATTTTACAATTTCCAAAGCCTGCACAACTTTCGGCTTACTGCCGATTACATACATAGCAACATGTTTGTTGCGAAACATAATTGCTTGTAAACTTTGATCATGCCTGGTCTGGAGTGTCTCGGAAATTCGAGAAAATACTATTTATTTATTTATTTATTTACTCCTCGCCTGGTCCTGATGGTTTACACCCAATGTTCCTGAAGACCGTGACTGAGTATATTGCCGCATCTGTCTATCAACCCTTCCGTCGTTCCTTTGAGTTCGGGCGTCTTCCATCTACCTGGAATGTGCGATCGTAATACGCGTTTAAAAAGGATGAAACCGACAGAATCCAGGCAGCTGTAGTCCCATCTGTCTGACTTCAATTTTGTGCCAACTCATGGAACGGATTCTTTAACTAGCCCTTCGCCTTCATCCCGATGATTTGGGGTATTTCTGTGATGCCCAGCATGGTTCCCGAAGGTTGCGTTCATGCGCCAGAAATTTGTTGGTGGCTTGGGAAAAATAGGCAAGTTCCGTATATGCCGGTAAGTGTCTGGGTGCTGTGTTTGTTTGTTTCAGTAAAACTTTTGCCAAGGTCCCGCATAAGCGGCTCCTCTTCAAACTCCGGGGAATCAAGGTCACTAGCAATTTTCTTTCTTCGGTCTCTGGTTTCCTGGACGGTCGATCTATGCATGGTAAAGTGCTCGAAGCACTTTCTGGTTAAGCTCTCATGACCACTAGTTTCACCCATGGTTCTGTACTCGGTCCCGAGATCTTCAATATCTTTTGCAACGACCTGCTGTCCGAACTGTCGACCGACTGCTTAATCCACGCGGAAAACCTGAAACGGTGGCTTGAAGTACCCAGTCTGGAAGATGCAGACAGACTTCAAGCGACATTAGATATTCTACACGATCGGTCAATTAAGTTGCAGTTGCCCATTAGCCGTGAAAACGTACTTTTTTAGCACTCGTGGTATCAGTAGACTATTGTTTAGCAAATTGATGTCTCAATGCATAAAATATGCATTAATTTATTTGGCTAGATCATCAGGCGACTTTTCATACGTCTTTTTGAACAGCCAGTTATGGATTCGAACAGGTTAAATTTGCCATTAACACGGAACTTTCCGCCAGCAATCTCTTTGTCTGATAAGAGTAACATCGCCTAACAAATGCAGAAACCGGTTGTGCAAGTAATGCGAACTGAGGACTTCCCATTATATTCCAGACATTTCCATGATAAATAATATCGAGCATCTTATTCAAACTTCTGGACACCGCAAAATGTCTGCACAACATATGTACCACTGAACAAAACGCACTAAAATACCCACAAAATCACGAATACTGTTTAGGCCTAAAATATGACTTGATTTATTAGCCTGACTTCCATGTTCTTAATAATTCTAGACATAACATACGTACCAATACGTTGATTAAAATGTTCTATTTACTTTATTCATGACGAAACGCTACCTACCATGTATAAGCAATGGAATTTTGCCTTTAAGTTTCATCATTTCATTAGTAACTTTATTTGGGAAGACATGCCACGATTAGTTTTACCGCCATCTCGTCAAGCTTATCCACCAGTAATACCCATAACTATTACACCATATACGTTGCTTACGCAACACCAAGTTTTGCCAAAAAGCTCATGTCTAACAAAATTGCATACACAGTAATTTACATCAACCCAAATTACTTTCGTCGGCAAAATTTAGCACGTACAATTTGGGATGCATATTACAACATTTATTATCGAAAAATTGCCGCAAACCATGCTGTTTAACTTAAATTTGCAGGCAACTTACACCATCCTGCTTCACTAATGATAGGGAAATTTGCGCTGCATGAATGCAAAATAACATCAACTGTGGTATGCACAACGAATGCGCCGCTATTTCTTATACATGCGCAACAACCTCAGGACTTGTGTTGCCTTTTTTACCATGCTACACATGTTGACTAATAGCTACCTGAGTAGGTTTCTGCTATGCTCTATTTTATAAATTTGTTTTAATTTTCCCTCGCAACTCAAATCAGTGCAATCAAATAGCATTTAAACAAGTGTATATGGTAATCGTAAAAGGTTTGTTACTTACTACTTTACTACTAAGATGCACCAAAGATATGATAAGCTTGAGATTGATCCGCTGTGGCAAAGACGCGTGCAACACAACGTGGCTTTTTTAATTATGCCACCACATACATGTTTCCAAACTTAATAGGTTGTTTACAAGAGAGTAACTAAACATAACTTAGTAACTGCTTGCAAGTCCAGGACCAACAGAACTGTAAAGCATCCGGTTAACCGGTACGCCATAATCTGGAATAACCTACGAGCGTTGATTCTTGCCTGCACGCTAGACCACGAATTTCGCTACTCATCAATAATTGCTTGACTGTAATGAACACGATCTAACCGCCTGGTTGTTCCATAAAATCTGCCAAGCGTACGAGTAAGTTCCAGGCGATATACGACCCAGTAGTTAGTTTGACAATATACACTCATCTGTGCAGCAGCTGTTTTACTATAAAGTGTGTCATTAAAGTCTAGTCGACATCAATTCTTTTAAGTCCACCATTGAGTATGCTTTATCGCTTCTTTCGGTTCTCCTTAACTGATCTAACTTTTAATTTTGCTAATTCGCCTGGAATCAATGAGTTAGAAATTACCCACCTAACTTGTCCTCTCACTACTGGCGGCCATGGCATCTTCGGGCACAAAGTTCCTACATTAAGTTATGTAAAGCCATCTCATGTAACACCGCTGTGTAGCCCAAATCGTACCGGAAGTTAAATGAATGCCAGTTGCACACATAACACCTAATCTATTCGATACTCTGACTGACAAAACAAATCGTCTGCTACGTTTACTGCTCAGAATAGCATACTGCACTTACTAAGGAACTTTACGTCGCAAACAAGTAAAATAATAAATTCGACCCTATTTATGCACCTAATTATGCTTCCCAGCCTAATGACTGCTGACTTGAGATCAGGAAGTTTGCCAACTTATTCTGTGACAAACAGTACACTTAACAGCTGTTGAAAGTAACAGCTCTCGGAAGGTGAAAGCCTTGTCGAGAAGTAGAACTCATAAGGGGATGACCAAGAGTGAATCATTTCAACTCCCTTAAATGTACCCTCCGAACAGAAAATATTTTAACAGTGCGTGCGACACGAAACACATCATCCATGGCCCTCTCATAGCATACATTTAGGCTGTAGAAAGTCCTTCTGCTTATATTTATCCATACACTGAAGAACTTTACCAACCCCTAGACAAGATTTGCGGTGTTTGTCGCATAAGATTGAAGATACGTATGCCATTATGATTAGCTAAAATGGCACCAGGTTGGACAAGAATTCCGTTGGACAACTTTTCACACTTGCCTTCTAAGTGTACGGTTAAGCGCTATCCGTCCTTTCGTTAAAGTGAATATATGGTACTGTTGCTTTTTAGTAAAGTAGTAAACTACTCTTATTCAAGGTGCTATACGAAGAATAAAAGCAGTTTTCAGTTAGTGCCGGTAATATTAGTTTGGATGATACTTGTATTTATAACAAAAGTTGGGCACCTAAAGCCTGGGTGGCCTATAAAGAATCTAATCTGTATATTAAAAAATTTCATTATATTAGAGAGGACAGCAAACTTTAGGTGAAAGAGCTTTTATTTTTATGTATATGTGGACAGTACAGGCAAAATTCAGTTTTGTGCAAAGTTGGCAGTTCAACGTGGATTTTGCAATTTTACCGGCTTCAAATAATTTCAACTATAGAAACAAGAATAACACGATTATCAGTATTATTTTATAATGTAAAACTACATAGCTTTTTGGTCAGTTCGAAATACAAGATCAATAAATATAAGCAACTAAAATTACAAGCAGAGCAGCGCACACTTAAACTCCAATACATAGGTTTGAATATTTATTGCCACAGCTCTAGGAATTATTGCATTATTTTGGTTCTTATGGAATGGTAATGAGAACAAATTTTTCTGACATTTGCAAAGTAAATAAAATGACACAACTTAGCAAATCTGTTGCCTTTTATATGTATTTAATGTTCCCGTGGTTGGCCATGGTTTTTCAGTGAAAACTCGATAAATCAAGTTGCAATATTAAAAAGGGTAAGTCGTTAATACCATACCATATTTTTATTGAATTCAAAATTTGCCTTATCGTACCATCTTTTGTTAAATCACATACATCAAAGTAACTCACTCGGTTGCTTGTCAATATAACCATTATAAAGGCAACTGGAGTGAGCCCAGTTAAGACTATCCACCAAAAGACTGTGATAATTAAGATAAAATGGCTGGTCTACTGTGTGAAATGGTTCCATTGCTGCAAGACGGTATAATACGAGCTTCTGTTCAGGTGCTTTGGAACTGTTTCTCATTTCCAGTGAACACGATTTATACATTATTAAGAAGTCATCTCCCATCCTTTTCTTCACCTTATGAGAAAGAACATGAATGAATACCAAAGGTGTTAGTAGTATCTTTAAGTTAAAATATCAGGAGACAAACTTTTAATCAGTCCGCATGATTAAAAGTAATGTAAACCGTATGTGCTGACAAGCTACACCGTAAATATTCAACAAAATAGGTTTTACGGATCTGTCTGGTATCATATTACCCATAAGCAAAATGGGCGAACGTACAGATTTACTAGAAATAGCTGAATTACACAAAGGCCAACTAGGTGAAAGCAGTTAGAAATTCAAATTGTTGCTTGATAGTTGCTATTCTTAATTAATTTTCAACAAAAATCTAGCCACACCCCAAATGAGACGAATTATGAACCGGATTATCTACGGCTTCTTTGCAAGTCTTTTATTTAAAATAAACTTCAATTAATAATGTTTTCGGTTTAATTCTAATAGTTGGAGGACAGTCAATTATGTTCTCGTATGAACAAAGGATTCAATTTAACTATGGTTGGTATGAAGTTGGACGCTGTCGGAGAGAGGAGGCACGATTTTCTTACTTCTTCACATAGATCAACAGATGGAGGTGCAGAAATGAATGCGGCTAAAAGATGACATGGCAATACACATTTGATCAGTGCGAATAAATTATTTTGAATATCAATAACGTTAATTGCGTTGTTTTATAAACAGGAAGGATGTTAAGAAAGATTAAAAGTTCGGAATCAGGCTAAGAGCATATTCTTTTCGAAGCTACGAGAAAATAACAAACATTCTTTGCACACATAAGCCCGTTGATATTTTCTATCGTTGGTTGTAAATCTTTAAGCGCGGCTGTCATAAGAATTGTTTTCATTGATTGGATCTACTAGTTAACCAATTGTCGCCTGCCGGTATTATTTTAGGTTTTGCTTCAAAGCGACTTATCCATTTGGATCGAAATGGGATCTATGCGCCACACACACAAAAGACGAGTTTTCTAATTTGATAAGCCATTAAGACGATATAATTTTACGTGTCTGTTAAGTTCTTTACATTGGCTGATACAGTAGATTAATATCAGAATTTTACATAATCAGCTCTTTACAACGAAACCTCATTGCAACTTCACCTAGCAAGAGACATTGGAAGTTTCAGTTCAGATGTATCGGCTAAACCACATTTAAAAGGCGAATATCATAGTTCGTCACCTTATGGTTAGTTTTGCTTAAACGCTTTTTGAAAATGGTGTTTTCCCAAGGAAGATGTATTTAAATAAATGAATAAAAGATTTTACCGGTTTAACTAATAATCTGGACAGCTTATGTTTTGGAGGTATGAAACAATGATGAACATTTAACCAACACGTGATTACTCCGAAAATAATTTCCCCTGCATTCGAATTAGTTAAGGAAAGCACTCTATAAAATGAGGGATTGAGCAAAAATAAGGTCAGAACTCACACAGTCGTTCCTTAGCTATCGTGCAAAACAGAATAGACCAGAAGAACATTATTTCTAATCTACTGGTAATTACTTGTTCAAGAATGAGTTAAACGGATGGTGTGGTTTCGTTTTCTGCTTACTAACTTTGACAGGTATTCGATATGCTCACCTTTATTCTGCCCGCATCATTGGGCGTCCAAAAACTTAAGTAGGGAATAAATTATCTCGCTTGAAAAATATTACGATAGCATGATTTCATATGCATATATAGTTACGTAAGATTTAATGTTTTAACACTTGCCAAAACTTTCCGGAAATGGAACGTTAATTTCAACAGAATTATGTTTGTATTCATGAGTTTTATACCACCATGCCTGTGAACTTTATCTCAATGCTCCAATGGAGTAAAGGTTCGTCTTTACTGTGGTGCACAAGTAGAGACTTTGTTGGAGGTCATTAGTTAAGAAATTTTATAGACACTTAGTTATTTTTTACAATTGATAGATTTCGTGATTTAGCTAGTTTTTATTCTCCTTTCTGTACCCCAGTAACAGCAGGAGTACCGAAAAACGTCAGAATTCTGTCTGGTTTCAGATCCATAGCCAACTGATTTGTGATCTAAAACGCCATTAAGGAACAATTTGTGGAAGCAACGGACTCATAGCAAGTAATTTTTCGATACATAATAAACTTCCCCACGGACTACCAAGTATGTATTTTTATTAGTATTTTATTTGTGTAACAGGTAAAGCTGCATTTCTTACTGAAGCAAACTAGGAAACCTTCTGATAATAGCCAAATACAGCACTTTGAAAAGACAAAATTTATACGCTGCAAATGCTGGCATAACGAAAATACTGTCAAGCAATTAATGTGCCATCGATACTTAAGTTTCCGCAAGTATATAAGAGCTTTAACGATGTTAAACACATCCGTTACCTGTAAACCGGGTTCACCCCTATATCCGACGAAAGTCAGACGCTCGATTGCTCACGGATGCTATCACATTTTGCAGTTACCGAGTGTAAATTCCAAAGATATGACAACGCGATTGAGAGAAAAATGAGTTAAGATTTTAGCCAAGGTTTTTACATACAAATGAGAGCTCGTTCTATTATAAATGATGCCGTTTCTCACACGCTGATTTTACTTGGATATCGAAATGAAGTCAAACACTTTAAGGTCCAATGATCTTATCAGACTTGTAGCCACGTGTGCCGATATTTCAAGTGACCACAAATCAGGGTCGTCAAATATTTGTTGCTCAAAGCAGAAGAAATTTAATGCGGACCTTGGAGTCATCAAATAGACTACATATTCACCCTGATACCTCAGCAAAGGATGAAATCCTGGCTTTAGATGCACAAATCCCTACTTCTACTGGTCATGACTTTTGTATATTTTAACTGTTATGTAAAATTAGTTGGCCGTTAGATCGACCTCTATTTCTGGATTCTGGATCCGTTGGAAGTACTACGGCGGTTCTGACCTTCCTGCAATTGTCTCCGGTGTTTCTAGAAAGGACGATATGCTTTTCAAAGCTGAATTTAAGGAGCACGCTTTGTGGTTGGGTTGCGACTCGCAACCTCTATTGAGACCTGGGCTCACTTCCAGGTAAACGTCGGTCATTCCGATCTCGAGGACCATATCCTGAATGGATATAATCGGGTGTAGCTCTGCCCAACACTGGCACACCACGACCGCGGTTGTCTTGCTTTAGACTCGTCAGTTGAAGATAGCCTGAGCTAAGACGGAATTCAGAGCTTAGTAGTTCATGGCTGACACCCTGAACACTACGCTACTGAGATCCGCGAGCAACGCTTGGCGTAGCGAAAAGGAATTCAAAGCTGAATTTAGTGAGCACGCTGTGTGGTTGGTTAGCGACTCGCGAGCTCTATTAATATACTGTTGTGTCAGCTCCATGCGCTTTAAGACAAACCGCCGTTTTTCTGTCATGCATGTTTGTGTTCTCGGTCTGCTTTAGCTTGCGCTGAGGTTAAGGACCACCGAGTGGATCCCGCAGCACAATCTTTTTTGTTTTCAGACGATACGTAATATTAGGACACATACATGCTTCGAATGAATCATCCGTTTAACAGAAGGCAGCGCTTAAGCGCCAGGGGTCGCCTGGTTTGCTGCAGTCACACACAGGTCATTCAAAGAGTTTGGATCTGCATCTTGGATTAAATGCGTCGTTTGACTTGTTTGTAAGTGGAAGGTTAAAATATAAACAAACGTAACTCATCGGGGGACTTAAAAATTTCACAGTCTTTAGAATTCAAATCCAGCGAGACTGCTATACATACAGTGCCTTCCTTGACGCTGTGGATAGTCTGCATTTCGTACAAGCTCATAGCGAATGAATTGTCTACGTTATCCTTTTCATCCTTCTATTTGCTACACATGGCAGCCTGCGTGCTTTCCTGTCCTCCATGCTTTGTCTAGGTAACCGGGGCAGTTGCACGGGCATTAAGAACTTGTATCTTATTTGTACATGATTGAAAAAATTTATCCTATGAAAAGCCAGTGGATTGATTGCGCACGTTTTCGCCAAACATTGTGCTCTCATTGTTAAGAGTAGTTACCACGTCAATACATGACGAACCGCTTTAGAATAACGGTGAAGTTAAGATAATGGTACGATTGTTCATTCTTCCTATGAGTACATTATGTTGCACTCTAAAAAGCCTGTAATCTCCGGTGATGGGGTCGAAGTATGGAACGAGCTCTAAACAAACATATGGATTGGCGTTCGGTGCATTACAAATGTTGCGGGACGTTGGTAATTAAACTGCACTGCTGCGTAACTCTGCTAAGCTCGAATTACTCTGAATGGAAGCATGATACCGATGTGCGCTAGAAATTCCCAATCGAAGGTCTCTTCGACAGAGTAGTTTGGTAACCTATTGACGGAGGATGGTAGTCATGCTAAAGATGACGCGACTAAGACACAAGCGTTTTGGCGCGCCTTCCAAAGTGGTGGATCGTGGTGATGATGAGAGTAATATCCACCCGCAACCACTCCATCAATCAGTGATTATAATAACTGAGATGACGCTAAGTACGTCAGAAGAATTTGAGCTAATGACTGACTGATACGTCCACAAATCGACCGATGTTGTCATCGTCCATTCTTCTATTCTCAAGCAACTCGCTGTTGTATTGCATTATTTGGACTTGATACGTAAAATCTGTCACACTGGGAAGGTGAAACTCCTCAAGACGGGAATGAGACGACTATCAAAGCCACACACAAAAGGATGCAAAATTTTACCTAACAACTAAATGCTCAGATATGCTCAAAGGTTTGGACAAGCCTAGCATGAAAAGGACTAGTGAAAAGATATTAGTCCACAAAATCACAAGATCGAAGCACGGCTAGCTTAAGTAAAATTCAAAAATTACCACTGTGTTGCGCTTTTTCAATGTTGCAACTATCTGTTTTATGGTTGGATTTCGGTAGAAGTTTGTAACTCTATCCTTAGCAAGACCCTTAATTCCCCTATCATTTCTTATTAGGGTAGATGACATGTCAAGTTTCGAGAGAGAAATGCTGCTGTTATTTTACTT